AAGGCAATTTCGAGCTGACAGACAAATGAACAAACCTGTTGAAGTTGAGGTACAACTGCAGCAAGCATATTTGAATAGAGTGAAAAGAGGTCTTTAAGGTAATACAGTCTTTCTTCTTCAAGCCTTTCACATGTCTGTGGGACATACAACACATGATTAAATTTTGCACTCAACTAAATGATAAATAATGAACTCTTTTATAGTCCAATGTGTCACATAATGTCCTTTAGATCCAGATGTTTTACATCAAATTAAAAGAATGATGTTTCATTCATGACTAGATGGTTATACTACATGAACCAATGGAAATGAGGTGATCAAGAAGAGCTCGATTTACCTGACAGCATTTGCTCATTGCAGATTCCCAATCCAATCTCATCCTTTCTGATAACTGATAAACATCTCTATATTCCTTGTCTAAAAAGATAATATAATTGGCATTAAATAAACTTTAAGTAATGCATTTTACAACACAATTTGTGTCTTAAAGTGGTATCCTAAATTTACAATGTTTTATTCATCAGTATCATTAGAGGGTTGAAATAACAAAAGACATTATAACTTATCCAGATTGCGCTAAAAAATTTACCTGTTTTTGCAGATGACTCTGTTAGCTTTCTTAGTTTAGTTTCAAGCTAAGAAGACAAACACTTTTTAGTATTGATTTGTAAAATCTATTTCATAAAGAAGCATTAAATTTAAATGCTACAAATTACATCTTATATCTATATAACCAATGTACCTTAGTAATATCTTTATCTGATAGTGATTTGCCTTTTCCTAACCGCACATCCTCAAGTTGTTGGTACAAATTTTCTACTTCTTTTGATTTTGAATGAGACGATTTCTTGGCCTGCATATAAAACAATCATGCAAATAATACACATTTCAGTATATGCATATCCATCATTAATAATAACCCTTATTGAATAGAAGGTATTCCATCCAACTGAATTATCTGCCCAGTATAGTAAAATATATTGAAGAAGCATTCCAAGCATTCCCTAAAACCTTCACCGTTATTATTTATAGAATGAGAACCACAAAAGAGTTTCCAAATTTCAATATTTTATTTTTAACAATAACACTATACCTTAATTGATTCATTTAGTTTATCTGTAAAAGTTTTATATGCTTTATCAACACTGGATTCAACCTTAAGAACAAAAACATAGTAATTACTTTTTGAAAATTTGTTAAAAAATATTATTGAGGGATTGTATACAACCACAAAAATAAACTACTCAAATTGCTAACCATTTTCCGTGTCTTGATTTGCTGATCCAGAAAAGCCTTGACTTGCTTTGATCCTTCATCATATATTTGCGAGGAAAGAGATCTAATTTTTTAGAAGAAGTATGAAATTTGATATCATTAATGTATAATTATATGTATAATTTAAGTTTTTTATAGTTGAAATTAAAGAAATGGAGGAAAACAAAGCCACACTTTGCAATAATACATTTGTACCCTTTGAACACAAGTACGTAAGTGTACAATCATGTACAACAGTGTTTCAATTATGGTTATGATTATAATAGACTGCATCAGTTATATACCTGTGAATTTCGGCTTCATCTTCCATTTCTTTAGATATTCTCTCCCATGTTGTCTTTATTGTGCTAATATGGGAGTCAGAGAGAGGACAGGAAATAAACTACATGTTGATAGATGATTGGTAAGATTGATATAATCATGGAATAACAATATGGTTGTTAAATTTACCCTGTAACATCCTTTGCACAAAGTTTTGTTGCCTTGCTGGAAAGCTTTGAAAGTTGCTCAGCATAATTTTGTTCTATTTTTGATCTGAAATGTTATGTGTAACTAAATAAAGATCTGTTTAAAAGAATCATTATAGAACAAACAATCAAGGGTTGAAATAAATGAATTAAACTTACATGTGATCAGAATGATAGCAAATTCATAACTATTTTTGGAAACCATTAAAGGCACCTGCCGAAAGCCACTGCACTTGTTTTATTTTTTATCACMGCAATGTCAGAAATCATACACCCACAAAAATATAACATATATTGCAGATGTTTTCAATAGATTTTCCGCTTGATCCCACTCGTTTAAATTATTTTTTCTTGWAAGTAAATTTACATTTACACTTAAATAAAATAACTGTTTCGTAGTCACTTAATTGTTATTCAATGGATCAATATAGAATTGACAGTGTGTGCAAATGATTGATGCTAATCCAAGTTGAAATGCCTTTGTGAATATTCTTACAATTTGTCGATAATTCCATGAACAAATATATGTACCTTTCGCTCAAGACATTTGCAATTTCTTTACTAAATTCACTTCCTTGTCGGGAGACTTTGCGGAGCTCTTCGTACCCTTTCTGGTCCTAAAACCAACAAACTGTTGAATAAACGCAGCAAGAACCAGTCGTGCAGAATCCAGCACACGGAGGTCATTGCCCGAGTTTGTCCGCTTTGAAAACTTAGAGATAAAAATAGCTTAAAAATTAGGTTGCTTACCCAAAACGTTTGCTCAAACCTCGACATGGTTGTTACGAAGTTTTTATACTAGGAAATGAGWGGTAAACACGGCAACCACGCTCCATTTCCGTCACCTATAGCCGCCATTTTGAATTGAATTATGCATACCTTCGATAAGAATGATGACGTCATGACATCCAAATTCATTAATTATCTGTAGATTTTGTAAATACGGACGGCGAGGACATCAAACAATATTCCAAGGACAAAAGAAAAATTTAATTTTAAGATATAAGGGTATGACCTTTTAAAACAATAGTTCACAAGATCTCAATAAATAAAATCATCCATGCTAGCAGAACAATTAGCTAAGCAAAGAAACATGAAATAACGGCAGGCACCATGCAGACACCATACTCGTCATGTGTGAAAAGAAATTATTTGGGAGTGGGGAAACGGAGAAACATACACATATATAACAACATCAATTTACAATCACAATCACTATCAACAATTTATTATCACTCTTGATATATTTGAAAAATACACATTTTAATTTGTATCAATATTACAATCAACAGGAAAACATTATAAAGTATATATTATAGCTTTTTATAATTATCATAAGCGGTATTGAAGAGCAGAAAAATTATAAATAAATTAGATATAAACAATTTAATTACTTATTAAAAAAATGAAAAATTGTCAATATGATTTCTTAGTGGCAACTGGACACAAGAGGTTTTTWTATTTGTTTAATATGTGGTCATTGATTTACTAAATGATAACAAACTACTTATCATAATTAACAATCAAATCAATCAGTGATTCATTTTTTTGGTACAATTTCTTAAAAAGTCTTTTAGAAACCCTGAGAATTGAATGATTTAGCAAGATCTCTTGCAGAAAATACCAGGCCAAATCCACCACAAACCAGACCAAAGACAATAACGAAGCACCTTAGTGCAATATTATACCACTTTAACTTTTTCCACTTCAATTTCATGTGAAACACACATGGGAATACAAACGAAAGGCACGTTCCTGTGAAACTTCCAACAAACCCCATCAGAAGGCCAAAATGAGGGACAACAATTCCAAGAAAAAGGGCGAGCGTTGCAAGTAGCAACCTTGTGATGAGCAACCAAAACCAATGGCAGCTGCTGTCTGGCTGAAGGTGGGGGAAAAATGGCAGAAAGTTAGTATCCCAGGTCTCTAAGACAATAAAGAAACAAATAGGAAATGCCAGGAAGACATTGGTGATGACCAGGGCATTGGACAGGTAGTTGAAGGCATGGCTTTTGATACTGACGGTTATGACTTGTTCAGTATGAGTTCCAAACCTCAGGACTGCCATTAAGCCTAGTAAACATTTGATGACTGCTGCCAGTAAGAATGAAAAGTTCATCATGGCTGGAAATTTCTTTGGCTCTTTCATGCTCCCCTCAACACCTGGAAAAACCGCATGTGCACAATAGCTGAAGACAATAATCCCAAATCCAATTGGAAARGTTTCAGCATTAAAAACAGGAATGTTATGGATGTCCATTTTATCGTACTCGGTTATGCAGTAGATGATGAGTGTAGCCAGACCAACCATGAGTGAAAAGACAGAAAACATGCTAATCCACGCGATGATGGACACTCTTTTGATGAAGATCCCTGGAAATGCGACATAGGTGCAGATAACGGCCCAGTGGTAAATGTTTAGTTCTGTATAGGCTTTCAGCATGTCATTAAAGACTGTTKCAAGCAGTACAATGTACATTATTATACCTCCAAACATTTCGCACACTTGGACAATACTAACGATCTTGTGACCGAATCCAGGAAGGACCGCCTCGCCGACTTCAGGATAATTGGTACGGACGCGCTTGCGTTGTCCAGTCCGCTTCGAATCTTCGTATAGACAGTCGACTAACAATTTGCCAGTAAAACAGCACACCCAAGCAATGACCAGTATAGCAATAACGCCGGCCCAACCACCCATGCTAACRGCGTAAGGCACCCCTAGTATACCCGTTCCTTGGATTAGATTGCTAACATTCCAGCCAGCCATGAAGGCTGAAGCGCGGCGATCGTGCGATGGTTTTTCCAACAGAGAAACAGTCATGGTATGACTGCGAAGCTTTCTAATACTTTCAGTGACACCCCCTCGATGTGAGGAGAACGATCTGTGTTCYACTTCGGGACCAAGCAGGCTGGAGCCTTCGTTTATGGTGGCAAGTTTCTGACTTCTCGTCAATTGAATGTCGACCTGCCCTGACTCCAAATCGCCAACACTAGCCATCTTGAGAATCTTTYCTTCTTTTCGCTTCTAATGTTTCTAATGAAAACTCACAAAATTCATACAAATACTCTGCTACAGCTTACGAACTTGTTATTGCTTCACGTGGAGTATCGGATTACCATTGTCCATATAGAGAATGAACTCTTGTCGATTAGCCAATCAAAACAGATTTTCGCAATATGCGATTGACCCATTGAGAAAAGTTGCGTAAGCATGGTCTGTAAACAAAACAACGTGCTTTACCAGACAAAGACACRCAAAATAGCAAAGAAAGATTCAACAATTATTTATTCCATATGAATATTTCATTGCCTCCTTGAGGGATTAAGTTCTTGATTTGTGTCAGTGGTTCGTCGGAGAGGTAGAGTCGAATTTCAAGACTGCGTTAAAAATTAACTGTAAGCTGGCTGAAAAACGAGCTCATAGCTTAGGCAAATACTAGTAAGAACGCCCGCAGCAGACCCACAAACTCTGCTGTGAAGGAAGAAGAAAATGGCRAGAAGGACTTACACCGAACCAGACATTCAGCTCGAAGTTTCCAAGTCATATGAGAACGATGAACGCTCTTTTAGAGCAGTCAACGAGCGAGATGARGAGAAGATTGCGCTTGTTCGAAGTGGTAGCCCAAGCGCAAATGAGTTCAAATCACCTGGACCAGGTTCAGACTTCTCAGAATCAAGTCCGTGGAAAGTGAATTTTAAGCGATTTAAGTCAATGACTGTTTCAATGACAGTTTCTTTGATTGAGAGAGAATCCCYCGACAGACAGGCCTCAGCTTTGCTTGCTGGATGGAACGTCACCAACCTCATTCAGGGAATGGGCATTCTTGGGATACCGTATGCMGTTAAAGAAGGYGGCTGGGCTGCTGCTRSTTGCATTTTCATCGTTGCATTATTTTGTGATGTAACTGGAATATTATTGGTCGATTGTCTTTATGAAGTTTCACCACGAAGCCAAAGAAGGAAGAGAGTGCGCACTAACTACCCTGAAGTTGGTGAAGCTGTATGGCCAGGTGTTGGGGGCAARGTAGTAACCATTGTCCAGACAATTGAGCTGTATTCTGCAGCAATGCTGTACTTGATTTTACTGACAACAATGTTCTCTCAAATTACTGAGAAATATGTGCCATTAACTATGAATGAATGGGCTGTTATATGTGCCGTTGCTGTCCTCCCAAGTGTCTTCATTACTCGCCTCTCTGTTGTGGCATGGATGAGTATGCTTGCAGTATTTGCACTAATGTCAGCAATTATAGTCACGCTTACATACTGCATTATCCACTTTGATCAGTGGTCACTGGACAATRTTCCAAGGTTTAATGGCAGTACGTTCCCTGTTGGATTTGGCATTGTGACATTCAGCTACTGTGCCCATGCYGTGTTTCCTGGCATAGAAGGAAGCATGAAGGAGCCACAACACTTCAACAGAATGATGCATACATCTTTCATCTTATCAGGCATTGTTAAGACTATATTTGGAGTTTTTGCTGTTCTTACGTTTGGGATTCTCACAGATCAAGTTGTCACAGTTAATTTAGCAGATAGTCCGGGATTTAACTTTGCTGCAACTTTGCTTGTTGCCTTGAATGTATTTTTCTCATTTCCTTTACCTCTTTTTGTTGTGGTGGAAAGTTTTGATGATTTATTTTTGAAGCACTTTCCACACTTAGGTCCGGSYTCAGGGTATCACTGGTTTTGGCTTCTGTTAACRCGGACTCTACTTGTAACTTTTGCCCTYTTCATCTCTCTTGTTGTCCCTCATTTTGGTCTCTTGATGGGTTTTGTGGGTAGYTTTACTGGTACCTGCCTTTCCTTTGGTTTCCCTTGTATTGCTCATTTAAGGCTTAAATGGAAATACTTGAGATGGTATCACATTTTTGGAGAGCTTGTTCTCATTGTATTTGGTGCTGTTGCAGGTTTTTTTGGTCTCATTTATTCAGGGAAGGYACTGATTGATTCTTTCAAAGTCAATCCTGCATTTTAGYAAAAAGCTAAATAGTTATGATCTGAATAATAATTGTGTACTTTTTGTCAGTGATCTGAATTTAGAAAGAACTTTCATTTTGTTTCTACATGTCCTTTTGATTTTGAATTGTTAAAACGTAAATTGGTGTAAACAATGACAGATGTGGCATAGTCATCACCATTCATCACATCCAAAATAGTTTGACTTACTTTACTTCGTGTGCAGTCAACATTTATTGTAAAAGTCCAAACAATCATGTGATGAAGTCCTCAATGTAAAGTACTCTCAATGTTATTGAATAAATTTTCAAAAAGGATGCAACAATTATTCTTCTAAGCTAATAAAATATAATATATCTTAAAGGTTTTTAAAGAAACTTATTACACATGTTTTTCTACGTCCATTTACCCTTATGTAATACGCAAATAAGTACACAGGATTGTGCTAAACTAACCCTGTGAATCACAGAAAATTGATTGAAAGGTGTTTGTTTTGTTATTTACTACTAGACCAAAATAGCGGGGCAACAGTAGCGGGGATTTTRACAATGAACGTGCCCCCGACTACCGGGGAAATGTTTCATTTTAACATCACTCAAATGTTAATTCCCCAGTATTCCCCGGGGGGCGGGGGCTTGCATTACAGTTTCAAAGCCAATGGAGCCCGCGCGCCTAATAGACTAMGATAATTTTGATTTTGAATATACATGCAAACCACAAGGGGTTAGTTATATGGCCCAGTAACCGACTAATCTTCTCCCTCAAGGGTGGGCGTAATGGATGGGTGACCGTTTTGTAGATTGATCGCACTTAAAGCGTGCAACTGTACAAAATCTAACTAGTATTAATTTGTACTAAAAGTGGACATGAAGCAAGACGGTATTGAATGCTTCATTTGTATCAATTCAATTTTTATTTGTGTACCGCATGTTTTATTTTCATTTATTTGTGCTGTTTAATTTGCATTAAGTATTAAAAAAATCAATTTTTTCCTTGTTTTAAATTATCGCGCGTCTTGCTTTGATTGCGTTTCGCGCCTGGAGTATTTAATASTAGTACACTCTTCATCACGAGGGCACGTGATCGAACTTTGCATCAGCATTTGCCTATTTTTGATTTAAGGTAATTATCAAGCATTATCAATGAGTTCTAAAAAACACATCCCGTTCCGATGTAATACTAAATTGGTAGGAGGGCGAGCGTCAATTTTGGTGATGACGTATTATAATAATTGAACTTTGACGTCATCTATTGCCGGACTTTCTAGAGATGTTACAGATTCAGAAAGCCACTGTCGCGGTAAGACAGAGTAAATCTACTGGCTCGTTCGAGTTAGAGCACTAAATCTATTAATTTGCTGTCAYCTTGTTTTCAGATGATCGTCGCWGTCTTCAGGTATCGGATTTTACAGYTACTGTAAAAGTGGTTTYAACAAATGACAAGTAAATTCAAGCAAGTCAAAGATGCTCTGCACGYAGSCTGGAAGATTATCACATTACATTATGTTTACGAGTACCTTTTGTCAAGAACAATTCAGTTTCTTGTCTTGTCACCAATTCTGATCCCTTTGTCGCTGGCGCTTGCGGGGCTTACCATCTACGTTGCGCTTGGTATTGCATTTGTTGTCTGTGGTTTGGTAGTTCTTGCTGTCATTTCTATATCAGGGCCCTTGATAAGAATYGTTTTCACGGTGTCTACTTGCTACATCATTTAYCAAGTTATTTTTACTGCTATGAGCTACGTGAATTCCAAATGGCGGAYCYTGTACAATGAATTCGGAARCAACAAGGAAGYAGCTATCTCTAKAACACAGCTTATCAAARACWGGCTTTCTRACGCGCAASGACATCTTTCAAATTACATTGTCACCAAATGTWCAGGAGTATATCAAAAGGTATAAATGCATACTGAACCAATAAATTACTTTAATTATTAACGCTTTAACTATCGAGAAGAAAATTTATTTGCGTGGGAAGAAATCCATGCGCATGCCTTGATTTTGATAACAGGAAAAAATCTCAAGTCTTTCTTTMTTTATTCTTTTATCATTTTTTTGCGTGCGTCTTTTAAATGATAAATGTTTCCACAAATATTATCCATTTACAGATGCATGAAACAGTACATGGATATCAGTTCGATGTCTATCGTCCTATAAGAGGCATTGTGGGATATACTTTGGATGTTCTCATTTTCACGTATGAAAATGTTAACAATCTKCGAAGCAAAATCGGTGGAATATCACTTCGCCTATTACCACGTAGATCATGGAGAACGAAACCATCAATTGGTCAATCTGAGAAAGTCATACCGACTGAGGAACTTATACAGATAGTTGCAAGCGAACAGTCACGGGATTCTTGCGCTCCGRTCGATGAAAACGATCTTGYTCTTCCTCCTAAATTTCAAACCAAAAGATTCGCTGAGAACTTGACTGAAAAAACAATTCATCCCACAGTGACTAGAAGGTATGCTTCAGTTGTTTASGATGACTGCATTTCTTGTCAATGTTGAACAGGGAGGTCCATTGAGTGCGTTAATTCATTCTAAACTTTGCATTCTTTTCTGTATTCAGGCGTTTTATTTTACCTAGCCCCACACGTGAAGATGTCAAAGAAATCTGGAAGCAAACCAAGCAAGTACAGGAAAGATACAAAGCTGTTATGCTACAGCTTCATTAAGTAAAAAATCTGAACATTGATTTTGACTCAAACACTAATTTTTTGAAATGGATTTTTTACACAAGATCTGATCCATTTTTGCAGTATAGTGCGATATCATCTGACAATAAATATTACTGCAATGACAAACAACAAGGTTTCACTATTTATTTCATAGTGTTAGGAGTTTTCATGTTATCCTCTTGACTTTTATACTCATAGAGGTATAATGACAAATTTGACTTCAGCCAACTTGACAAAAACAACCAATAGCTCTGCCTTTCATCAGTTTGTAAGCACTTTTTGCTGTCCTTTCCTTTCTCTTTGCAATTATTACCAAACTCAAATAAAGATGCAATGTTTGGAGGGTCTTCTAAGGTAAGGTGAGGGAAAAACTCTTTTACTTTATAGAAGTCAGGATGGTGGAAATAAAGAGTTGAAGGACAAACCAGAAACACCTGCAAAAAATAGTATTTTTAGTGAAAATCTTCCTGACTTTTATAATAAAAAAAATCATAATAAATGGAAAATTCACCTGATGGACTCTGTTGTTGCTTATCTTGTTCTGAAGAACCAACTGGTTCAACCAAGAAGACAGTTCCTCTTTTGTTTGTCCACCAAGATCATGCACTATAAGTCTGTTTGTCACAGGGCAATTCTTATCACTACAAGCAGGCCATGCTAGTAAATGTCTAGGAGGCATGTATGTATTACTAAACACTATATGATGAGTAACAATTCTTTCCCCTGAGGACTCCCGTGATAAATTTGCTTGAAGATGTTGTAAGCAAGAGTACATCCCTCCTTGATGTAATACCCCAAATAGTAAACAACCAATCACATTCCAGATAAACCATGAAAGGGTTACAAAGGAGGACTGTTTGGRCCCAATTATGAAATGMSCAAAGAGWATAGCTAATGGTGTTAATATGGGTATCAAAAACCGTGGCTCTTGGTGTGGAATTAGTGACARTAGGCCAACAGGCACAATAGCACTAAGTGTCAAAAYTKTACAAAAAAGTAGCTTTGAAGCTGATAGTGTCATCTTTTCTGTATCTTGACTAGTCTTCAGATTTTTGATGTTTTGACWTATGAAATATCTCAAACCATGTAGATTTTGTGTRCATGCTGCAATGGCAATATGAAAATAAAACAGCACTGCCAATACACCAAACAATAATGGTACATTTACAAGAAAATGGGTAAACCTTGGATGTAATCCATGTTCTTTAAGATGTGAAGAATCTAAGTTRTACTTGATAAAATTAATTGGAGTAACTGYAAAAYGTCCAAAATATAAAGAATCTGCAWTGATAAACATGARAGCTGTGGAAATTGCTCCAAAACCAACAAAKAAAGCATCTTCAAAAAACTTCCCAATGGATATMCAAGATATTTGATTGTCTCTAAAAAAAACATAGCACCAAGTCAATGAAGGCACAAGAACATATGCCAAGAATGTTGGTCTGTTCCAAATTCCAGCAACTATTACCATTCCAATTCCGATATTTACTAATGTTGCTTTAATCTTATCCTTTGGAGATATGTGTACAGCAAGGAACCATAAGACTAAGGCAAATAAAACRCTTTCCAAAGTATTAGAAAATGGTCTTGTGTTAAAGACAAGAGTTACATATGAAGTCCCTAGAACTGCAAGTATGGGGGCAGGGTCCACTCCAAGCAGGCAAGCAATCTTGAAMGCACAAAARTCTATCAGTGTTGAAAGAAAACAAAACGCAAGCCTCGGAGCAACGACTAATACCCTTGTATATGATTTCCATGGCGACCCCATCAAAGTTTGTAGCTTYAGAAGGGCTTTGAATGGTAGTCCAATGAATATATGAGGCGSCAAAATACTCCTGATGGGCAAAGTTTCGTTAAATTCCCAAGTTCGCAAAGTTTGAAATCCAAACACATCMCCAGCAACAATTTCTGGTGATTGAAAGAACTCATCAGGGTGTATGTATCCAGTCTGGGGAGAGAAAACCCAAAGAAAACGAAGAAATAAAGAGCTGAACCAAATAACTCCTTCTAGTTTGACGGCCATTTTGAAAATATCCGGTATCCCTTTGTCGCGAAAGCATGAGAGGTATTGGGACTAATTATATAAACCGCTGGCCAATAATTAACCACGTGCGTCAAAAGTTTAAAAATCAAAATGTTGTCCTATGAAAAAGAGACGAGAAATTTAGGAAAAATAAGACTTGTTGGAGGAGAATCGTTGATTTCTTTACCCGTAAAGTTCAGTAAAGACTCTAGGTGAGTAACAGTGCAATGGGGATTACTATGAAATGATCATTCAATCTTGTTTACAAAAACAAATCTGATTCTTCTGCCACTCTTGTAATTAATGTTTTTCAGATATTTTTTCTGCTGTGGAGGAAGCAATGTTTATGTTTTCAGTTCAGAGACTGGTAGTTTAGTAAGAGAACTCAAAGAACACTCTGGTGAAGTGACAGGATTTTGTGTAAATTCCAAAAATGAATTCCAGGTAAGGTTATTGTTGCAAAAGTCAGTGTTTACATGTAGAATTACGTCCCCCAACTATATGCTTAATTTATACTTTAATCACGACTTCATCTGTTTCTTTCCAAAAACAAAACAAACATCGTCAATCAACAATGTTTAAAAAGTTTACAAAAAATTAGTCAATCCAAATATTGAGTTCGCATACTATTTTATTTTTAGCTTATTTCCTGTGGTATTGATGGAGAGATTATTATCTGGGATTACACAGATGGGGCAATACTCAAGGTACTTACAAAAGATGTCATATGTCCAAAAATAATGTAGACTAGTTTTGGCAACTATATGTTGTYCAAAGTCTCCAGACTTCATATTAAAGCTTATGGTTTATCGATTGTGCATCAAATATTACTGCTGTTACTTTGTCTTTTTTACACGCTGCTATTGTAATTGAATTACCTTTGATGATTATTGCTTTGTTATTAATATATCAATTTTCAATTTTTTTTTTAGAAATTCAATGTTGGCATCCAGTTGTTTGGTGTTATCACACATAGTCACCACGAAGATTCTATCTTTCTTGTTAGAAATTCAGTTAAAGGTAAACACATAATTGTTTAATTATTGTGGACACAGCGTCAGACTAGACCGGAATTCATATAAAACATGGCAATTTTGTGTCATGAACATACCGTGATAATCAATATTTTCATTTGGCATCACTACCAGGCGAGGCTCTGTGAGCATGTCGTGTCGTTGCTGTGATCTGTGACTTTGCACAGTAATATGATTATGAGTAACATTTATTGTAAATTGTAATATACTTTTAATACCAAAATTTATTTTATTCCGTTATGTTTGAGAATGTTTTGATATATGATGTATTTTTTGTTTTCCTGATAGGTAAAAAAATCAAACAGAAACTGGCAGTGTTAGATTTAAAAGATGCTGAATCGAGTAAAGAAACAGACTTAGAAAATCTGTTTTCTTTTTCTGGCTCACCTTGGAATTGTGTATTCAGTAAAAAGGTAACAAGATGCAAAAATCTAATTTTTCACACTTATATCATTAGTACCTATCTGATATGCTAATCTAATGATTTATCTACCTAATGGGTTTTTATTTTGAAATTTAGAATTATCATTTATATATTATTTTMCCAGGGAAAATTAATTGCATATGTTAACCAAAATGAGCTTGGAATTTGGAACACAAAAACAAAAGAATCAAAAAGGTATTGAAGTATCTTAAATTAAAGTAATGGCTAAAAACAACTAAACATCAGAGTAAAAATGTGCCTCAACCTCAGTCAGCTGTTTTGGACATCCTTGAAAGTTTTGGTTTTTCATATGATGTATATTCAAGGTTTGACAAAATCACAGCTGGTTTTGGTATAGAGTCTTCTTGAAGTTACATCAGACAATCCTTGCTGTTGATGATATGGGATTATAGTTTATTTTATTGTTAGCACTGCTGAACTGACATTATCAAGTAAACTCTGTATTATTATCTTGCATGTTAAAGATTTGTTCTGTTATTTTTACAGCTTTACTTATAAAGAGTCCATCTTTACTTGCATTGCTTTTCACCCAAATGAGCTTTGCATAGCAACAGGTGACAACGAAGGAAAGATAGTCATATGGTACTGAATATTTTGTTTTTTTTTGGATTTTTTTTATTTATTTTTTATTTGCAATATAGTGCATGCTCTCAAGATTCGTTGTTGACCATGTTTTTATCAGAGCACAGAAACATGGCTTGTTGCCTACACAACTGAAAAAAGCAGAATAAGCCATAAAAGAAACATAGCACAGCTGTTTTTGTCTCTGTCCTCTGATATGAATAGAATAATGCATACAATTGTGTCTATAGGCAAGGAGTGTTTACAAAGAGTCCAGTAACCATGGAGTTTCACTGGCATGCACATGCTGTAACGTCATTGGCTTTTTCATATGATGGTAATTAACAATTGTATTACATTGAATAAGCACGCTTAAAATACAATGACAGACAACTTAGTTGCTAATTTTGTAACAACTTAGTTGCTAATTTTGTAATGTAAAAGTTCATCTGAAAAATATTGTACTTCGTACTTGTGTACTTTACAAAATTTCAACAGCCTGATGAAGACCTCAGACTTTTTTGAAAGTTTTTTTTAGGAAGTATTTTCTGCATTTGTATGTCAAACACTGGATAATGTTTTTAAGATGAAAACATGATAACTTTTTCTTTTAGGATCTCAAGTAATATCTGGTGGTCAGGAGTCTGTGTTGGTAGTTTGGCAGTATTCAACAAATACCAAACAATTTCTTCCCAGGATGGGGGCGCCTATTTCTCATATAAGCTGCAGCAAAGATGATAAATCAATAGCTGTTTGTCTTCAAGATAATGGTAAACCATGGACATTGTTTTTGGTATTTGATTCTATTTGTTTGTTTGGCAAGTCTATAAATTATCAAAGTTGCTATTCAGTCATCTTGTAGAATTTCAAACTCAGAAATTGTTTCTCTTTCAGTGATTAAGTTAATATCAGCACTAGACCTCAGTTTAAAAAGTATCGTTCAAGGACTGAGAAAAGGTATTTTCATTTGACATTTCATAACCAATATTCCCTGMTAAATTATTGTGAACTCACACATTTTTAAATCTTCCAATAGCAAGTTTTATGTGCAAAAAGCTGGTCTTTGATCCTCGAAGTGGAAGTCTAGTGTTGAACTCTTCGCCTGGTGTTTTACAGTTCTATGACCCAATTGCAAACAAGGGAATGTTTGTGGTGAGTACATTACACAATAAAGCAACTTAATCCTATCACAAAATAATGAGTAATGACATAAAGGTACCTGTTTTCATTACTTATGTTCTTTATTTTGAAATATTTTTCAGGTTGATATAGTAAAGCAGAATGTTATATCTAACACAGAAACAGAAAAGCTCTATTTTACTCAAGTACAYTTTGTTTCTTTTACCGATGATGGAAAATGGATGGCCACTGTAAGTCAATTAACTCTGTTGTGGATAAGGAACTTAAAACCATCCTTCACCMTGTCTAGGGTTATTGTGACATACTGTTTACATCAGGTCTAGGCAGTAATGTGTAAATTATATGTTRATTAAACTTCCTCCAAGAGACTTGAATCACCTCTTTTTCATTGACTGTCTCTACAGATTGAACACAGAAATGATCATTATGTATCTGATGAAACAAGACTCAAGTTTTGGGAATTCAATTCCACCACACAATGGTTTGTTACAGTTGATGAAAAATAGAAACTCTGTCARYTGGCTTCCTGTGCCCTCTACTCTTCTAGACAGCCCAAAACAAGAAAGMGGAKAGARCACAGGAAAGCCAAAACACTTATTGATTGATCTACTTACATCCTAGTCATACATTTTTAAGTATATCATTTCTATTCATTTTATTTTTTAGTATAAAACAGTTTACTGTTTCCTTGTGAAACCTATTTTTATTTTTTATACTTAAAATAGTTAAAACTATTACACTCAACCAAATTAAAGTTGTCTGTTGATTAAAGTTGTCTGTTGATTAAAGTTGTCTGTTGATTAAAGTTGTCTGTAATTAAAGTTGTTGTTGGGATTGTGGTCGCCTGCGCTGCAGCCGAATGATGATGATTGATGATGATGATGATATTTTGACACTAATTTCCTATCTCTTTACAAACAGTTATGCAGTCAACACTGTGATTGATATGCCACATGATCGTCCAACAATAGCTTTAGCYTTCCAGCCACTGAACAAAAAYCAACCACTCGCTGTAACAGCAGGCAGAGATGGAAAATTTAAGATTTGGGTTTTAAGACAAAACCAAATAGTAGCAGGTAAAGTTAAATGATTTTCTACTGGTTGCAATTGAAAGTGATAATTTGACAAAGAAATGCCAATGAACTAAAATCATTTGACTTTTATGTGTGTGACAAGAGCATTTCATGCTTMTACTGTTTTGATGTTGACATGTTTAGGAACCAAGACATCKTGGGTGTGTCAGTCAGTTGGGTATTACAATGATACACCATGTCTTGACACTGTATTCTCAGAAGATGGAGAACTTCTAGCCATTGCTTACTCGAATGTGAGTACTATAATTCTTGAGCCTATTAGTTTGTATGATTACTAACCTGCTATAATTGAGGACACATTTATCTTGCTTTCTTTCCATTGTTTGTTTATGTTTTTTGAGTCAAGATTCTTATATTTGCCTTTTTGCAGTTGATAACATTATGGACACCCAATGCAAACATGCTACAAAAAACCCTACACCTTCCTTTTCCTGATGATGTTGTAAGGTATTTTGACTATTTTTTCAAGATTTATCCTTGAGCTAACATCGGCACTTTGGTGAATAATATTGTGTTGTGTAACAAAGTAATAACTAAAACTAGAACAAAATGNTGTAAACTTATTTTAATTATTCTCTTCCCCACAGATTTGTAACTTTTGGATGTCAAGAATCTTCTCACTACCTGATGGTATCAACAAGTGACTTCCTAATTGTATGGGATCTCCTGACATGTTGTATATTATGGACTATTGAAGCTAACGTGTCTTATCTGCTTGCCGATCCTAACTCCAAATACATCGCTGCTTTTATAGTTTTTGAAAAAAAGACTCACCGTAAGAACTACAATGTTTAAAGGCCAAGAAATACAAGATACAGTGTCACACAGCCTCCTTGCTGTTCAATTTTCATATTTTCCATTGTCTGTTAAATACAAGATACAGTGTCACACAGCCTCCTTGCTGTTCAATTTTCATATTTTCCATTGTCTGTTCTTTTGTTGTGTAATATTCTGCAAGTGGTCAGACAAGATGAAATATCTGATTGGAACCAAACAGCAAGAATGTTGTGCTACAAGTTCAGTGAATTAGTGTCTTGTATTTCTTGGTCTAAAAGTATAAAACACATAATGAACTGTGGTTTGTAATTTGATTTTTTTTTCTTTTCAGTGTATATATTTGACCCATCAACACCGAATCCAGTTGTTGTACAGACATATATCTCCAAAAAGGCTCCAATATTTTCAGCAGCCTTTGATCCCAAAGTTAYCATATCAGTTCCACACAACAACAAAACGTTTAAGATGTCAAAATTATACTTCTTCACCAAAGCTCAGGTACATAATATAAAACATTCTCCTAGTGATTATTTTTTTCAGTGACTTGGCTTTTTTTTGTGGACCTGACTAAGACCTTGTGTTATTAGTGGGATGGTGTTACTACTGACTAGTACTATTTAAAGTGATGTTTGTTTTAATTGCTTCTAGGAACTTTTCACCATTTCAAATGAAGACGAACAACAAACAAAAACTCCTGAAATAAACTTGAAGGTAAAGTGTGATAAAAAAAGTTCTTTTAGCAAGTATCAATCAGAGATTTCTTATCACGAATGGCCTATATTTGCGCTGTTGCAATTTTGGAAACATTAAATCCCTTTAAACCTTACTAAATCTATGTTTGTGTAATAAAAGTTCCTGGCCAATTTTCAAACTTTGTGCTCTGGGAACATTGYTTGGTTTTAAGGACACCAATGTACAGTAGCATGTGAAATTTTGTGTGCCATTCTTTTCAAAGTTGCATACGCATTCTGCAGTATGCATGAAATGCAACTATTAATTTCCTAGCATTTCTATTCTATTTCTGACATAAGTATGATTTATTGAGCAAACCTATCGAAGTTTTATATTCTGTTGTGCTCACTAGAATACTTCCAATGAAGCTTCTCAAGACTTTCTTTGTGTCTTTGGACAACCAACAAAGACTGGTAAGAAGACACATACAATGGTTGACTATGAAAATCCCTGGTTGAATAGACTTCTGAACATTTTACGTCACTACTTGATTTTCAATGCATTGTGGGATCAATTTCAAGAGAAAATAAAAGAAATCTGCCATGTTTTGTCCCAAACATATCCCACAATGCATTGCGTATACGGTACATGACGTAAAAGCTGCAGAGGTCTATTGACTGAAGGTCTAAATCCAGACTCGTACCCAGTCGCTTYTCTTCAGTGGCATGCAATGCATGAATGGAAGGGCGAAAACAAAATTTTCTCTACTTCTCATGAGCCCCTTCCAATGTATCAAAAAATAAAGCGTTACGACTAGGTATGAGTCTGTACTAAATCAGTTTATAAATCAATTGATTGTTTAATTCATTTATTCAATTATTCTTTCATTTCTTAGTTGGTCAGCCAGTCTGTTGATTGATTGATTTGTAGTCGTCATTAGAATGYATGATTGATCGAATGGTTATGATCGATACTAGAGCATGCGCAGTCTTTATATTACGATCCCATTTATCCCAACCATCATGGAGCCAGTCCCAGAACTCGCGACGATCATATGTTTGAAATGTAACATGAATGTGTGACAGACGGTCGACATAACTGGTTTACTAACGTCTCTCTTTACATTGTAGTTGCATCACTTCCACATACAGGGAAAACTCTTCATGGACAACCTTCTTCTGCTGTCGTACGTGAGGTAACAAAAGGCCGTACCGTAAATAGACCTTTTCATGGGGAGAAAAAAAGTTGTCCGAGGTTGCTGTGGTTTTTCAACCAAAGCGAGAAAGAGTCGGGCAGCAACCCGCAAATTTTCCCTTTTGARCTTGTTTATCATTTTGCGATGTAAGGTGAAAAAAGTGTTGGTGAAAAAAGTCATGTTTTTGACATGACTTTGAACTCTTGTTCATTTTAAGGCTGAAGCAAACTTGTTGACCGCTTTGATTTTAACCGCGAAAAGGTCTATAGACTCTTTCACAATTTTTAAACAAGTTTCACAATTTTCTTATATGAAAAGGGAAGTTATTTCAATTGTCCATGGTTTTTTAAGGGGGCGCGCGTTTATTCGAAAAGGGCGTTTAAATTTTTTTTAAAACACAAGAGTGGCGATTATACATGACATGGACGTGTATTGGAGAGTGGGCGTCTAACAGATTTTTTACGGCGGTTCTCTTGGAGATTGGGTAAGTTAGGTTGGCCTTTATATAGTGTGTAACAACCTGTATTGCAAGAAAAAAAAAACGAAACTTAACCTACTGCAACTTCAGTTTTAATGTGAAAGCATGGTTTTATACTGCACAACTTTTGCTACTACTAAAATATGTGCACTGACAAACGGTAATAAAGTGTTGTATCGTAGCATAAACTAATATCATAGTTATCTGCTAAAGCAATCAGTTCATTTCAGTTGTTTTTGAAGTACTTTTTCATTGACTTGTTGAGCCATGCGACTTTGGGCTTCTTTGTGGACAGCCTCCTTCCCAAGATAGCCTTTAGTATGGATGTGCGGTATTTACGGATACGGCAAGCATAAATAACAGGATTGATGGCTGTGTTAAAGTATAGGAAGGGATAACTTGACCTTTGCAGAACAAAATACCAACTTTCCTTTGTGTACAACGGCCAGTATGTTGTTATGGCAAGAACGACCAACCATGGACAACAAGAGATTACAAATCCGCCAAAAACAAGACCTGTCGTGCCAAAGAGATCTGCTTCTTTCTTTAGACACCGCATACATTGCGTTCTTTCGCTGTTTAACGGGAATACGGTCTTTTTCACGATGTAATAGTGAAGTTTTATCGTAGCGTATGTGGCGATGAAGTTGAGAGTGATGAGGGCAAATGGAGTGACGAAGAGGCCATGAAGAGCAACTTCGTTAAACGCCGGGACAGGGCCGATTACTACTTCTATTAYACTGATTAAGAGCACGACGAGGCARATAAGGTAAGCAACGCCTTTGGTCACTTTCGTTGTGATGTGGTCTCGGTAGAAGCAAGGGAACTTCACAGCGATGAGCCGCTCAAACGACATAGCAGTGATGCAAAAGATTCCACATCTCACTGTGAACTGRGAAACGAGGTCTTCTTGGAGAAACCCTCTAATGTGATAGGAATGTAATCCTTGGGAATTCAAGATGTTGGAAATTCCCACATTAGAGGCAGTTACGACCCCGGTCATGATATTAGTCACTCCTAAAGCAGCAATCAGTACCCCACTTGTTGTCCTGAAACAGCGAAGGGGATTTCGGTATATTGTGACCAAGAGAGTCCCATTTGTTAGACAAGTGGCAATGGCAATGACCAGAAGGAAAATGCCATTTCCCAAGAGAACATTGCTGTTGAAGGTATTCATCTCATACTCTCTAAAGCTAAACTGAATGCGTCTCATTTTAAAGGTTGTTTTTATAGGGGAAAAACTCACAATTCCGGTTAAAACTTCATTTCCTCGATTCTATTCAATTTTTTCAGCGTGTCACTTTTTTTCTCATTTGTAGGTTTTGCCATCCTGTTTAACACTTTGGTGTCGAGCAGATAACTAATTTGCCAAAAACGTGGAGAGCGTCTAGTTTCTTCACAAGCATTCATGTTTTTCTATTGCAGGGAAAAAACAAACAGCGTTGGCCAATCTACAGCCTCCTTGTAGTACCCAACGTATCCTTCGGTTTCGTTTTCATTTCAAACATTGATAGATTGTTTCTCAAAAAGAAAGTCAAAATTCAAAATCGATTATTTTTACCACCGATGCCACTTCCATTTTTTGTCCACAAGTCAGTTATACTTGTATCCCACACGTTTCTTTGCATAGGTACCTTTTAGCTATATTAGTAGCTTGTTAGTAGAGAAAAGATATGTTTAAACGCAACTGAAATACAAAAATCACATACATTGAAAAAGAGGCGTGGRGTTGTGCTTATTTCGATCAATATCAATATTTTTAAAGTAAGATTTCAATTCGAAGTAAAGGTGCCTGCCTTCACTCGGTAATGAATCTAGAGCCACAATTTGACATTGCTTTTTCTAACGAAAGCAAAAATTTGGAATCCTTAATTCACGTTTTAATCTTAGTCAAGTCACGTGTAGGCACGGGTTATCTCGATCACGTTTTACGAAATCCGACTCTAGTATGTTTGATCAAACCATGAACACCTCTAGAAARTACCCTATTATTAAAGTGCTTTAAATTATCCTATTATTCAAAGGAAATAGTCTTCCTACAACCGMTATTATAGGCATATTGAAATGCGTCATTACCCAGTATTTTATGGAATTTTTATTTTGTATTTTTGCGCAAACACAAGTTAATAGTGGCAATCTCGTAGGCGGATATCGATAATTACGGAAAGCTTTCTACACTGTTTTAACACTTTCTTTTAGGTGGACAGCTCTACCAAGGACACTTTTCACGTTTCCCAACGATGTCCGCTTACGGGAGAACTATATTAAGAGAATTACAGAAAAACGCTCATGGACCCTCATGTTAAGGGGAAATATCTTGTCATTCACGGTTACCGGTTTACCCCATCGAGACACTTATGTCAGTTAGCAGTCTAAGTTCTTTTAAAAATTAAAATTATGTCTAAAATAAAGTAAAATTAAAGGGTCACTAACCCACGCATTATGGTAATATAATAAATCGTCATGTATAATGATGTCCTTTAGAGTGAAAGTGTGAAAATTGTGGGAATTTTAGGTGTTGTGTGGACTTGGGAAAGTCAGGTGAAAGTCGTGCACGTGTCGCAGATCTTTTCTCTAAATATGTATTTTTGTTTATGTGTTTTTCAGATGTTTACTATTCCATCTCATGTCCTGCCACCAGTGTCTGCTTTGTGTACTACGTTTCTCAAGTCTCTACTTGTTTCTAAAGAAACTCGCAGGTAAACTTTTAGGTTATTTGACCACAAGATTAGGTCTGAAATCACAAAAAAACAATCGTTTTATAAAATGCAATGGTTTGTTATTTTGCAGCCCACAAGAGGATGTAGCAAATAGCATTGACGGTAAGATTTTTTTACATCTTTCAAAGTTGATTTTATTTACGATAACGCGGATGATCATTACACATCCCGGGCGACTACTTGTTTTTCAGAACATCCAGTTTCCGCGGGGAACTAATATGACAGCATAATGAAACATTTGTGCAAAAAGATGCATTTAACACCGTAAAAAAGTAGTGAAATTAACAATTCGCAGGCGGTTTTCCATTGTCTGTACTCTTATTGACAATGAAATTGACGTCAAAAATGCTCAAAACTTTGCAGTGAAACCACTCGCTTACGCTCGTTTGAGTTTTGAGCATTTTGACGTCAATTTCATTGTCAATAAGAGTACAGACAATGGAAAACCGCCTGCGAATCGTTAAAATGACATCTCGGACGTTAATCCTTCGTCGGAGTAAAGAGGAAGCATAATGCACACCATAATGCGCTCTATTTAACTATTCTATTGTTTAAATTGTATACAAAACGAAAGAATTGAGGTCTGGCAATGATTTTGGGAACATATTAGAGAATTCCATTGCATTAAAAACGAGCGTTGATTTTAAAAACCGCCTCATTAAAAAATATCGAATGAAAAACCCAAAATAGGCCTTTTGCATGAAACGGTCACATGGTACAAAATCCGCCATACTGGATGGCAAAATACCCACTGGGATTTTCAAAACAAAGAAAAGTCAAGTTTGACGGGCTGCGTTCCTTTTGTTTTTGAGGTTGTTTGCCATCCAGTATGGCGGATTTTGTACCATGTGACCGTTTCATGCAAAAGGCCTATTATTAGATATGGCCACGACGAACTTCTATTGTTCTATTGAACTATTGAATAGGTCAGGTGATCCCCCTCTTACGAAATGGAGTAAAAGGTGTTCACGTAATGTAATTTGTTTTGGCGATTCCTATGCAACTCCAAGTCCTTTGGCCGGGTGATGTTGCCAGCGCACACATAATAGTACGAAAATTCTAATATATTGACCGTGTAAAAAATAGACTACGAAAAAAACCCGGAAGAAACCACTAGTTTAATAGTGATATAACGTCATGTAAGGATGACAAAAATGGTTAATTTAGCAAAAACAAAAAAAAATGGTATAGTAGTAAACGTCTATTAATAATGTTTGTCCTATCTTTAGATACGGGCGTAGTTGATGGAAGTGATAGTGATAGCGATATTCTGGAACCTAAATCACCCAATCATGATGTTCAACAAGAAGGTGAAATACAAGATGATATGGTTGAAGTGGAAGAGACTTCCCTAAAAACAGTGAACTATAGCTGGTTGAAAGACTCTTTACCAACTTGATATTAAATAATCTTCCTTTTAGAATTGTATGAGCTTGTAATAAAGTCGGAATTTTTATTTCAGAAAAATGACTACGTGCCAATTTGTACCACAAAACTTCGTATATTGTATTAGTAGTTGATTTCAAGATCTATTTTACAAATTACAAAAAGAAATGGAAAAGGGAAGGAAGAGAGATAGGAAAGGAAAAAAGCTTTAACAAAATTTTTCTGTAATTTCAATTTGCAGCTGAAGGCAAGAAATCTCAAGCCCCGCCGTAGAAATGTCTTCCTATTATCGAGGCCATTGTTTCACAAAAAATGAACGGTGTCCTATTGGAAACCATAGTTACTAAGACTACTAKGTAGTAGTTTTCTTGGAAAACAACGGAAGACTTTGACCCTATCTCGTGGAGCTCTCGTTTTGTGCTTCCACTTCTTTTCACAATTCGAATCACAGCAACAAAACTTTTTAACAGTCGATGTTTTTCGCAACGTCTTTTTTCTCCAACACTAAATACTGCTTCTAAAAATCACCGAGTGTAGCCATRAAAGGGAAAGAATGCAAACTTTTTCCAATTAATCTGCGTCCACGCAAGTGACGATTTTGAGGACGCGGACTTAAGTCATTTTATGACCCATAGGTCAATAACTGGATAAAAGTATTTTACAGACTGACGTAAATAGAAATGCCGATAATATCTGAACTGAAATTTTCCCTAAGTTCGCAGCAATCGTAGTTAATGAAGGTATGATATATATGAAAATCCATTGACCGCACAGTTAACAAAATGAAAGGTACAAGGGGACTGTTAGTCATACCGATAAACCGCTCCCCCCCCCCTCCCTCCTTTTTTCTGTTAACCACCGCTAAATAATTAAAAAAAAAACAACCACGCGCTATTATTCGCTTTTTGAATGAAAAGTTTCATACCAAAATCGGAGCATAAAAGTGCATTAGCTGCCGTAGAAAGCGAAATAACATCGACAATTTTCCGCAACCAACAGAAACAGTCAAATATCGAGTCAAATAAGTCCCCAACATAATGCTGGATGAAACGATTCCATGGCATCTTGTTAAAAGGAATCTGAACCGATTTTAAAATAGGATACGACCATTATTAGGCACGACAGTTTATTTTGTAAGCAAAATAAAAAACTTTATATGGCAAGATTCGGCATTTCTATTGATATTTATGTATTAGTTCTCATTATTTTTTTTTATTTTTTTTTTTTTTTTTAGTGGCTGAAAATAATGCATGCAAATTTAGCTTCAATAAGTTTTTTTTTCTGCCTGCAGTTTGACTTTGTTTGTTCAATCAAATCACACGAATCCCGGATCGTTACTTAGCAACTTTCTCTTTCTGTTGGAACGACAAAAGAACCACAACAAAATTTATGCAGACAGGCCTTTTGCTGATCCCACTCAATTCCACCCAATCAAAACGTCTCGTGGACCTCTGACGTCACGACATTTCGCGCAAGTGTTATTCTGTAAGCTTGATCGATGAAACTGTCAGCGAGTTGTAGAACAGGAAGAAATTTCTTGAAATTTTAGGACGATTTACSCAGAAGTAAGTCTTCATTTACGAATAAGACGAAAGTTTAATGTTTGAAGATTSTAAAGTAATGTTTTGAGCTTAGTTTGGTGCGATAAATAGTCGTTTGGAAGCGTTTAGAGAGTCGCATGATTGGAATGATCGGATGTTCGATGATCGTATTTCAGAATCAACGACCCGTAGTTTTTACCATAACATTTGTAAATTTGTACGTCTACACAGGCTAAAGACGCCATAATGGCGGTGGGGAAAGGATTCTTCGACCAATACTCTGTTTTTTGTGTGTTTGGTTCTGTTGTTGGCTGTGTGGTGGTCCCGCTTATAACTCAGGTATATATTCTAGGTGTTGAAATCACCAAACACATGGTCTTAGACCTCTGTATTTTTATTTGCTATCCTTTAGTTAAACATCATCAGCATCATGCTTCATTTCTATGGTCATTTTCTCTTTTCAGTCCGTAGAGAGTGTTATTTTCTCGGCAATTGTTATTAGTCTCACTGCCACACACTTGACCAAACGAGCTACAAAGTCGGACAACTCGAACCAGGTCAGTGTTGGTTTCCGTGGCGTTTCAGCTGTCTTTCTATGTACAAAATCACATTAGTCCCTGAACTATCCAAGATATTGTCAAAAGGGTTCAATGTCTAAAGTACATGTCTATCGTGTTTACAGTTTTATGGCGGTAAGGAAATCGATAGACGAAGCACTAGGAAAGCGAAAGAACGAGACGGCAAAGGAGAAAACAAAAAGAAAAAGAACSCATCATCTCAGGTAGGCTAGATTATCRCGACGCGTTTGGAAATTATATAATCAATTTGTTTGTTAGTCAGTGACTTTGTCAGGATTTCTTGACGTACACGTATCGACCAGGTATTGTAGATATTTGTTGTTGTTTTAGAGCGGGTTTCGCTGCTCAATATTCACATTTGCTTTCTTAATAAATTGCTCGATGTTAATTGTTACAAAAATATCTACTTATTAAGCATTCTCGCTAATTTTCRAGATTTAAGATGATTATACATTTATTTTTCCTGTCGTAGTAGCATTTGACTAATTTTGTACTTTTACGATACAAAAAGCAATTGGTAACTTAATTGTGCTATATTATTTTTTGTTTATATTTTATTTTTGAAATTGTGATCATGATAAATGAATCTCTTACAACCTGTAACTCAGTGTTTTTACAAATGTAGCAACATAATCGTGACTGAATATTATTTTTTGGACCGTCTTTCATCGGCACGATATATACTTGAGATCAKACTCATGCTAGTATAAACACCTTAAATGCTTTTATAGCTGGAACGCAAGAAAACTTATCTTATAATATGCTGAATAAGCTCAACGTTATTCATATTAATATAGAAAGTCAATTGTTGTTTAGTCATTTATGCCATGTGTAAGTTGTTTCAGTTTTTATCTATTTTTGTTCTCCAGCATACATCAATCACAAGGTCAACTGACTTCCGTAAGAGACGTGAGTATGAACTTGAAAGACTGGAACAGGCTAGACAACAAGAACTGGTATGTGAATTAAACGTTTGGATAGAAGTATTATTAAATTAATGCTAAAACKTTGTTACCATTTTTACTGAGTCAGCTATATTGAAAATATGATAAAAATTCCTAGGGGATGACTTGGTCATTCTTGTTTCTTTTCCACTCTGACAAATGAACAATTTCTGCAAAACATTAGAAAGCATTCTCTCTTACGATGTATAGTTCATTAAATTAGAAACAGTTATCTCTGTGATATCAGCAGATAAAAAGTTTCATTCCTATAACTATACTATAATGAGGTGGGGTAGTTCAAGGGTGATTATAGTCTTCACGCTGCAATGGTTTTTTCTTCCTCCTCAAATAATCAGTGCGTAAACACTGAGTATACAATCTAAACAACAATTTAGACACCATGTGCCAGGAGGTCATCTTTTAAAGAGGCCATCGAGTTATATTGTGAATTCTTCTTGCCTTTCCTAAAGACTTGGAATACGTAATACAAATTATGGCAACTGAGTTTATGGTACACTATTGTAGTACTTTGTCCATCAACCCTTAAGGCCCAGTATCACTCAGGATGCTTTTTGCCCCTTATCATCATCATCATCATCATAATAATAATAATAATGATAATAATAATAATAATAATAATAATAATAATAATAATAATAATAATAATAATAATAATAATAATAATAATAATAATAATAGTTTATTGGCACTTCTTGGAGTTCAAAAATACTCAACAAACAGTGAAATTTACATAAAAAGATTAAAAAGCTATAATAGATATTTACTATTTACAACTTATCTACTACTAAATAGTGTTCATTGAAATTTAAATGTAAAAAAGTCATTTGCTCTTTTAGTCCTTTTCATTATTATTGTAGTGGTGTTTCCGGATCTTAAATTATATGGAATACTCCCTTTTTCCTGTTGCAGAACTAAGAAGGATATAGGATGTCTTTCATCTCTCATGTCTGACATTAGCTTGTAACGTAAAAAATCTCTTSGATTTGACAGCGATACTAAATTATCTTGGCTCAATGCATTTTGATAATTAGAATCAGGAAATATTATTTTCATGGCTCTTCTTTGGATGGATTCGGTAGAGTCTGATAAATATGCTGGAATGTCCTGCCACACTTGCGCTGTGYATTCTAAAACTGACCTAACGTTACAAAGGTATACTTTCAGTATGTCTTTTGGCATTACTCCAGCACGCTTCAATAACCTAAGTGTGTACAGTCTTTTAGCAGCTTTGGCATATTACATATTCAGTATGTGCTTTTCCACTTCAGGTCTTCACTAATTTTCACTCCTAAAAGCTTGTACATTCCTGACGTGTTCTAGCTCGTTGTTTCAAACACATGCATATAGGTCACAATGTGGTAATCGAATTCTTCATAAAATCTATATACATTTTTTTAGGATTTAGCTTCATTTTGTGTTCTATACAGTAATCATAGATTGTAATCATGTCTTGTTACATGAAGTTGAAAAAATAGTATTGACTGCCATTCGTGTTTCAGTGATGTTTATGAAGTAATCTGTATTTTACAGAGAGAGTAGTACATGGAAACTGCATCTTAYAAGCCTATTTGTTGCTTTGTAAACCACTTCATTAAATATTTCGAACGCTCCACTTAAGTTGTTTATGACAAAGGGAGGAATAATAAAGAAGAGAAAACTTTAAAGAAAGATTTAGAAAATGTTTAAATAATGAATTAAGGCTGGACAACCTGAAATGCAGTGTACCACCGTATGATATAGCTATTTCAAAATTTTGTTACAGAATATAACTGAAAATTCAATTAATGATGGATTATATTCATTTGTCTCTTTTAATATAGACACAGCAAAGAAAACATCACTAGAGATCATTATATAATGGAAATATATATATAGTTATTTATTGCCGTTCAGTATCCACAGTAACTTTAACTTTAACCTTTCTCTACATCAATGTCTTTCGAAGTAACTGCATTTACAGTGTAAATAGTGTATTTAAAATATAATTGGAAGAATATACAATGCAGTATTACTAGTATGAATACACAGAGATGACAGATGAAAGTTTCAGCTGTTTAACTATTCCTTTTAAACTATAGTTCTTAAAACCTTCAGCACCTTGTATGGCCTGTGCAAATATGATGTTTGGTAAAATTGTTTTCTCAAATCAATTCCATGTCCATGATGTCACAGACTTTGTCTTTTATGCAGTATTAATTGTCTCTAAGTTAGTTATTTAATAAAATGAACACCGTTTTCTAAATGAGCTTACAATAATTATAAACAGAATCTTTTTCCCCCGAAAACTACATGAAATAGAACAATACACTTAATTTGTGGAGAGCTGTAAAGATTACATGCCAAAACTCTTTGAAATTTTCTTAATTGAGTSTTTTTTGTCTTTCAATAGTAATGTAGTGAGGTAAACCTTAACAGTTTATTTAAGTTGGAGGTTGTTGTGGTAAAGCAAGAWYTTTTGCAGCTATTTATRTGTGATAATGAAAAACAGTACATCCAAAAACACAAAAACTTTGATATGTTTTCCTATAGTCAAGCAATGGCTTTAGAAATTATCATTTATAATTTATTGTGTAGACATAATGTCTGTAATTGTGTTGTACTTTGGAAGTAGCTATGCTACAATTAGTATTTTTGCAGTGGTATTGTGTATGGGTTTAGCAATGGTCCCAATATCCCAGTGGATTGGCTTTGCTTTTAAGTGTGGAATGGCAGATCTGGAATGTTAAAAAGGGGATTGGCTAACCCAGGAAAAAAAGATTACTGAAATGGGTAGATTTAGTGCTTTGGAAAATTATTTTTTTCAAGGGAATACTGCTTTAGTTTCTTTCCAGAACTAGTCCCATTAAGATTTTATTTCTTTTTTATTTATTTTGTATGCTTTATATTTCTTCATTTTGAATAAATTATGGGTGGCTAGCAACCCACCTCCCCCCTGGGTTCACCTTGTCAGTAGTTGCTTCATATCATCTTTGAACCAAAAGGTGAATACATCATGTTAGATTTGCTGCTCTGCATTTGCTTCAGTTCTGTACAAAAAATATTCCTAGAACAAGTAAAAAAAATGTAGAATCATAAATAAAAAACCAGTGATTTATTGCTAGGATCGCAAACTTGAAGAAAAAAAGGAAAGAAAAGTGAAAAAGAAGGAAGAAAGAATGAAGAAAAAAGAACTAGAAAAGGAAGAAAAAGAGGTAACACCTTTTGTTTGTTTGTTTGTTTTCCTTCTATTGTTGATGCAATTATTTTATCATTGATCTGTTTTCAAGGATTTTGAAACATGCCTGAACAAAACCCACAATAGTCTTCATCACGGTTCCCTGCGCCATCTTGAAAGGTAGCCAAGCCTTTGCATCGCACACCTACCGACAATTTAAGTCACAGTTATCTATCATTGCACGCTCTATGGTCTCTCTTCGATGTAAAGGCACAGCTACCTTCCAATATGCCACAGGGAACCGTGAAGGAGACTATCATCAGACATTTTATGGATCTTTACACTGAATTATGGTGCTTTCTTAATGAATTACACAATTTGGTTGACAACTCAGAGAGAAGATCAAAGACTAAGAAAATTAAAGGAAGAAAGATTAAAAGAAAACATAAGACAGCAAGAAAAGGTATCTTTATTGTCATCTTTTYTGTTCACTTTCTCCCTTCATGTCCATGGACATAAAAACTCTGAAACAGTGCATTTATCATAGGTTGACCAAATATTGCTTGAAAGAAATGAGCTGCGCGCGAACGATTTATTGCCGCGCGCTTTTAGCAAAATTTGGACTACCTGTGGTAATACGTCACGGTCCCGTACCTCGCGGGATATAAACAAGTCTGTGGCTCTCAGAATTATAACTAGTGTAATTTTCACTGTTTCTTTTTCATTTTTTTAGGCTGCATCTCATAAACAAGATACGCTTARACCAAGATCTAGTACTCCAAAACCTTCTAAAAAAACTGAACATTTGTTACATAAAACACCATTTCAACCAAACGTCCCTACGATTATGTCAGTGACSGCTTTAACACGAGAAAGAGCTTCCTCGGAGAGTACCGATACTAGCCCAAGCCCACCCCCTTCAGTATGGAAAGTACCCGAATACGTTGAACCCAAATGGAATCCTGGGGAMTCCCATAAGGATATGAACACTACGAAGTTAAACAATGACGTTGTATTTAAGAAATCCAAGGTAACAGCGCCGTTTAACCAACTCTACAACCCWGTTCACAGTGACCAGTCGTTTTGTAARAATCAATACATGAATCAAGAGAAATGTTTACCGGAGCTGGCTACCGAACACTCGTACGCGTTACTTAAAGATATAGATAAACCAGATAACAGGCAACAGGGAGACTACTACTCGAGTTTCTCTGGTTTACCGAATATCTTGTCGCAGATGAAACAAGTTCATAGCGAAGAGCAACAAGCCAAGTCATACTCGCTATTTGGAAGTGATCAACCGAATAGTTCAGTATTTAGGTCGCCTTTGACAGGACTTTAAAAGCAAGTTCTATCCCATGATATGTCTATAAGCATAGTTTTGTTTAAATGTTGAATTAACTCCAAGTAATAATAAAAAGTTATGGGTTTTGTTTTCCAAAACATATTGAAAAAGAAATAAAGTCTTAACAAGCATTCAAGCTGTTTTATTGAGGGTTTTCGTTGAAAGTAGATAAGGAGTTGTGCACACAAATAAATTACCAACGCGTTGAATAATTAGATTGGTAACTGGTCCTTTCCGCAAGATTCACCAGACTTCAAAGAATTATATACCTTTTACAAAAGTATGAAAGAAGTGTTTTGTTTTCCAAAACATATTGAAAAAGAAATAAAGTCTTAACAAGCATTCAAGCTGTTTTATTGAGGGTTTTCGTTGAAAGTAGATAAGGAGTTGTGGTGATTGCTGCACACAATAATGGGCTACATACGATAGAGAAGTGTTTTAACAGAGTGAAGGCATTAAACCCGTGAAACAAAAATTAACAATTTAGGTGTGGCACTAAAATAGACACAAAAGAAAATAATGCAATTAGAGCTAGTCTCCTCGCAGCTCGCCACTCAGTACGGCTGCGAAGAGACTAAAATAGAGCGTACTATTAAAGGTGTATTAGTGCAATATCTATTTCACTCTATACCAGGTTTTAAAACCCGTGAAATACAATTCTGCCTACCACATGTTCGCTATTACTCCAATTTATTGCGTATGTTTTTCTTCAGTTCTTCACACCTCAAGACTTTTAACCTGAGTATCAGGCCTTCGAGGGGACCTGGGGAGGAGAGGATTTTTTTCCCCCCCAGGTTTTAAAACCCGTGAAATACAATTCTGCCTACCACATGTTCGCTATTACTCCAATTTATTGCGTATGTTTTTCTTCAGTTCTTCACACCTCAAGACTTTTAACCTGAGTATCAGGCCTTCGAGGGGACCTGGGGAGGAGAGGATTTTTTTCCCCCGAGAGCCTGATACTCAGCTTACAAGACTTTAGTACACTTTGACATTGGTTCGCGGGATTTTGAAAAACAACTCCAACTCCTCTATGTCCCTTGTCTTATGTAGGTGACAGAATATTCTCTAGGGGGTCGTAGTAGAATCTAGTATCCTTTTGTCAGAACAGAAACTGTTTTCTACAGTATCTCAGGAGTCGTGTGGGAATAAACGAAAAGTCCCATGCCTTTCGCACGGGAGTTCGGTAGCACCTCGGCAGAATCATGGCAGCCATGATACGCATTTTAATAATCTATAAGTTCGCTCGTTTCGTCGCCTGATCTTKCATAATATTTTCCTTTCTCTAATTCTAGTTGTCTTGTCAGTTCTTCTTGAACTTCTTGTGTTTCTTCATGCACCCTATATTTGTTGTAATTGTGTTCGAGAGCATGCGTTATATTTGATATGCATTTTTAACGCGGACGGGTATCAACACAAGTTACTAATAGAAACAATGCAAAAAGGATAAAATCGAACATTTAAAACAATAGAAAGACGTTCAAAAATCAAGTGACTTAGAATTGACTTTGTTTACAGCAACTTTCAAGAACTGTTACTGTCTAATGCTCACATCAATCAAACTTCCGGGTTTCCGAATTCCTCAACAAAAGAATTGCTCAACCCTCAAATMCACAATTTCATGGAAGACATGAATAACAACTATTGAAGAAAAAGAGACAGGTAATTATTKGTAATTTTTGCTAATATTACTATGGACAGTCAATATCGTAAACGTTCTTCAGTTACAAAGATGTAAAGACAACAACAACGTCATTTCATATCATATTTTTCGGCAACATTAAGTTCCAAAAGTTCTTTATAATTCAATAACGTTTCATTCGCTATATTTATCTGCTTAAGTTCAGAATTACGATTCGATTCCTGGAAAATTTAAAAACCTTTTTATGCCAATGCCTTCGTTGTTGTCTTACGCTAACTAAATTGAATTGACTGTATACGGATATAGATTAAACAACTGACTTCTGAACCAATGTACAGCCGAAACTTCCAAGTATTTCCTTGAGTTCTTCAAAACAAATGCTCAGCGAAACGGAAAGTCGGCGATTACTCGAGCTCAAATTAATCATTGAAAGTGTTTAGCAATAGTTATAAACTATGTTTTCAGCCACATATTAGTGATGTCGTCCGCCAAAGGTTTTTGATTGATGTTGAGTTCACGGACTATCATTGCTCGTCACTGATCTTTTCCAGGTCTTTGTAAAAACACTGACATGCATTTCTCTTATAGTAAAATAGCAAAATTGTACAAATAAAATTATTCCCATCTATGTGCTGTATTTGTTCAAGTTTGTTTAGGTCCTTAATTGAATGCACAAGGATCTTCACGGAGGAGGGGGGGAACATTGGATAAGAACTCTAAATATCAAAGCATCAACAGATGTTTGGTATCTTCGACTAAAGATTATTCAAAACTAAGGAAATATTTGTATTATATTGTTTTAAGGGATTTTGAAACCGCGCTGATTTATCAGCTTGTGGTGCAAAGTGAAAGCACCAGGGTGAATGTCAATAGATTGAATGACATGCATACAAACAATCATTCTTCCATATCGTCGAATTTTCTGAGTTTGGAAAACAATATAATTAGAAACCAAATCTTACAGTCTCTTCTGCAATTAAAAAATGTTTATTTTACCCGCACGAACACTTCAGTGTTCCAGGATTTCGACCTTATAATTTTCTGGAACTTCGCCCAATGGTTATAATTTTAGAGATGCCTCAACATCTTTCCTTTGGTAAAGTTTTCGAACGATACACAAGCCAATTCATTGTTTATATTCGTTTCTAAAATACAAATCATATCAAGAAAGGTTGGTTTTCTTCCAAAAAAAACCGTGTCCAGAATAGCCACTGAAATATAGCCCCGATCAAGAACCACTATTACGCGTGAGCAAAGAGACATGCTTTGGAAGCCATGAATTTTATGTTATTCCAAAAAATGAGTTTTCTACATTTATTTATCACTTAGAAATTTTGAAGTTGTGTTTATAAATTATTATCGAGAAATTCATAAGTATCTTTTTATAAAGGAATAAAAGTCGTCTTCGGTCACTCATAATTCCTGATCACTTCTTACTTATATGACAATTATGAAATGCAAAAATATCTGCAAAAATATCTTTATGGTACATCTGCCAAAGTTTATTTCATCGTATTTTATCAAAGATATCTCCAGCTAAACCCGTAATAATCATATGTCTACCCATACAATTGATATTTATTCATGCAGCACCAAATTGAAAGTGACTTATATGCTTAAATCTTGATCGTTTATTTGGTTTTTGGAGCCACTGCAGTTGCTCTGGACGTCAATCAGATTCGTCTTCCAATTCTTCACATGAAATTTTTTGATTAGAAAGCTCCTAACAGTTACTGGAAAGATTTTACTGGCGCAAAACTCACTCTGGCTAAAAAGGGTGTTCCTGTTACGGTAAGAATTTTGGTTCGGGTTTCGTGTTTCACCGAATGTCGGGGTGGACTAGCTTCGGTAGTAGCGACTCGAATTGCAGGGCCCGTAATCTGAACTTTTACCCTACGAGACGGCACGAGACTTGGATACAGAGCACGGAGTAATTTCTGGTCTAAATCTTGCTTTAATCTTGTAACATCAAGCTAGCATTCGCTAGGTGGTCTCCTGACTAGCATGAGTCAAGCTCAATGCTAGGAGAGTGGTCTCTAAATCTCTAATGTTACAATGATTCTCAGATCTATTTATACGATAAGCTCGGTTACAAGATTCTTTTGTTACAGGTAATGAATGCATTATTAACTAACAGATCCATAATCCGTTTAAATCCGGTGCTAGGTTTTTAGGATTGTTTTTAATGTCGCCGCATTTCTTCAAAAAGCCTTGAAATCTGGCCTTTTTTCGTCAAATTTGGCACTTTATACGGACTGTCAGGTCAAGCTTGAGTTATCACGGACTATTTGTCCCCCATAAGTTTCATATGTACTTTTTAAGCACAAAAATGCGATTTTCAAGGACTATTTTTGAAGATATTTCTTGATGCTTGCGAAGGTTTCCAGTGGTGATTCCCAAAAATAGCCACACTTCAATCCAAAGAGCAAAAAGCAATATATTAATTTTATCAGATTCAAGGAGTTTTTCAGGAGTTTTAGCGATTTTTCCCATTTTTGAGGGCTTTTCAAGCGCCCTTGAAAACGAGTTTTCAATTCCAGGACTTTTCAAGGAATTCAAGGAGTAGCGCGAACCCTGTATCATGCATATGTCTGCCTACTATAATAATTGATATTTATTCATGCAGGACCAAAGAAAGTGACTTATATACTTAAAAATGATGATTCGAATCTTAATCGTTCATTTGGTTTTTGGAACCGCTGCAGTTGCTCTGGACGCCGACAACCATATTCGCCTTCCAATTCTCCACATGAAATTTGTCGATTGGGTGGCTCCTCGTGCTATTTTTGGTACGGTTACTGGCACAAATCTTCAGCTGGCTAAAAAGGGTGTTCCAATGCATTTTGCTGACAAGGAGCCCCAAAAATACAGCATCGAATCATTGTATAACACGCAAGTAAAAATAAGTTGGGCTTTTTTCTACACAGATTATGTTACAACTAACCAAGACCCCTCAGCTTTCAGAGACATTGACTATAACTGGTCATTTCTTATGCCAAAAAGTTACTTAAACTCAACACTGTTAGGCACAAATACGGACAATCGTTTCTATGGTCAACTTCAAGAAATTATGTTAAAAATAATCACAGAAAAGATGGTGATTCAGTTGTCTAAAGTGGCACAAAGACTTGGAGTACCAGAGAGAAACCTAAGCTACTCGTACGACCCGTCAAAGTGGGAGGAAATTGTTCATGCTATGGTTGAAGAGGGCATATGGAATTATCTAACATATCTGAATGTTGTTAATGAAGACAAGCTGGCCTCGCTTTTCGGATTAACGACGAGCCAACTGAAGAATTCTACGCTTGAAGCTTTTATTGCCTATCTTCCTCCTATTAAACTTGAAAAGGAACTAATAGACAAAAATAAGACAAAGGACTTTTTGAATTTCCTGGGGATATCTGCAGTGTCGAGTGATGCCGTAATCTATAACTTGATTAATCAGACTACAAATCTGACAGTTTCACAGTTTGGTATCTTGTACAACTTGACTGTGGAACAGCAGCGAATAACAGAAAGGGCTACGTTACTGCAGATATCGCAATCATGTTCAGTTGAGATGTCTCTACTTCTTGACAAGCTCATCTTCAAGCTAGTATGGGACATAGTCGGTGACTCGAATTCAAGATCAGTCTCCTGTTGGTTTATTCTTAAAGTGAAGGGTGTGGCTATCAATTCACTTCCGGGACTTGCAGATCGTGCGTCGAAAACACCGTTACAACTTTTACTCCATGCTTGTAATGGGTCATATTGGAAATCTTGTCGTTTGACAATGACTCTTGGCCCAAGTGAATGGGAGTGTCTTGACAGCATGTCTCTCACCAGTGCAGCATCTACAGTTGGCATAAGTGAAGCTAATTTACTCAACAGTCCAGTAAACGATGTGGCTACCGCACTTAATGCTAAGTGCAAGTCTGGAGGCGTTTCGTTAACAAGATAC